CTATACACTGCATTTCATTTTTATTCTATCGGTCCATAATTTATGATTTTTGGAGATTTCTGGTTTCAGTTCAATGAACCATGACCCATGCCTTTTTCAATGTTCCACTCTGCCTCTTTCTCCATTTCTTGAGGCTCAGATGAGCTGTAAAATGAGAGGTCTGGGCAGCTGACAGTCTACATCAGAGTGCAGTGGGATTACCAGACTCAGACTGGCTTTCTTTATGGCCCAAAAAAAGGAAGAGGTTGCCACTTCAGCCCGAAAATGGGTGAAATTTTGACTCTAGTTTGTGCTAAGAGCAACTGGTGAAAGGAGTGAAAAGACAATACACAAAATCAAACATTGTTATTCTGAGCCAGAGAGAAAACAAGTAGCTAGCAGCTATTACTTTTTCTTTTGCAGGAGGACCGTATCCTGGACTAAGCGATGCCCAAGACAGTTGTGACTAAAGAAATACAAACAAGCTAGTGTGTTTTTTTCCCCCCCAATAGCAGAATGATAATGGATGCAGCCAAACCTTTCTCCAGCACTGACACAGCACTGCGGAGATTTATTATATAGTATAGTACATGAACAGCTGGCTCTTGCATTTTTCCTTATTGTACTCATCTCCGACATGAATCATTGTCTGGGGTGCTGACTTTTTGCCCTAGACATACAACATTAGCTTTACCCTGAGTTTTTTTTTAACATGATACAATGTATGCAGCTAAGAAATTTCATATTTAAAGAACCCGCTTTTACAAACAATTCACAGAGTTAACGTTATCTGATAACATGTGCCAGCGCCAATTGAATTGAAACTGAATTGACACTCATAGGCTAGAAATGTTACTAAGAAACTGCACAAGTTAAACAGGAGAAGAGGAGACGAAGAGCAGCAAAAAAAAGACGCTGAGGGTTGGAAAATAGAGAGTGGGATGGAACAGAGAGTAGTGCTGCCATCACATACACAATGTACGGGTGGCATTAATGCAAACCTCTAAGGACTCGTTATGGTAACAGAGCAGTTAGGGGTGTCAGACAGCATCAGTGAGGTTAACAGAGAACCTGGGGGGGAATTAACATCAGACAAATACCGAATGCCTTCAGCTGCGTCCTCATGGGACAAACACCTCCAACGCAGGACTCATCACCCTCCTCCCCAAACCCTATCCATATTTCATTATTAAAAACTGCTCTGCTACTGCCTGTCTGACAGTGTGTCATGGTGCAGTATTGCTGTGTATACACACTGAGGACATTCAATATGATTCATTCTACTGGCAACTTTTACCCTGCTCTGACTCAGTCCCCTGCCTACTTGGGAGGGTGAATAAGGTGGTGAAGCTTCCTACTGTGTGCCTGAGTATTGCAAGTACTGTAAGTAGTCTGACACTTGTAACAAATGTTAAGCAGTATGTGAGTGGGGGCACACTGGCTGGGCCATTAACGAGGAGGAAGTCAGCGTGAGGTTTTTCCACACGGATGTGTTGCATGGGATCTGATTATTTTTTGTTCCACACACTTACACGAAAGGGCACTCTGCTTTGCTTCTCCTTGTCTGTTTGTTTTTGTCTCTGCAAAATGCATGCGTGCGCTTATTCGTTCACGCAGACACAAATTCATGACTTCCCGAACTCTTCTGCACGCCTATTCATACCCTCAACACAAAAACAAACCTGTTTCTTAACTCTGAAACTAAGTTCGGGGGTTAAGATTTTTAAAAAGCAAATTATTTTGCTTAAAAAAAAATTGCACAGCTTTCAAAACATCCTCACTTTATTGGATTTTGCTTCCTATCCCTGCACACACACACACACA